TTTGTCAGTCTCATGGAATCCGTCGCCCTCTAACGGTACCTTATTCACCCCAACAAAATGGAGTTGCAGAGAGAAAGAATCGAACAATTCTTAATATGGCTCGATGTTTGTTGAAAGCTAAAAGTATGCCCAAGGAATTTTGGGCCGAAGCTGTTTCTTTTGCAGTTTATTTGAATAATAGGTCTCCAACAAGAAATGTTAGAGATCAAACCCCTCAAGAAGCATGGAGTGGAAGAAATCCAAGTGTCTAACATTTGAGAATCTTTGGGAGCATAGCCTATGCTCATGTGCCACATCAAGGGAGAGCGAAGCTTGACGATCGAAGTGTCAAGCATGTGTTTGTTGGCTATGATACGAGTTCAAAAGGATACAAGTTATATAGCCCAATCAGCGGTAAGGTGGTGGTAAGTCGCGATGTTGAATTTGATGAAGAATTGGCATGGGATTGGGAAGCTCAGGAAGAAACTTCATATGATTTTCTTCCATATTTTGGGGATGAAGAAGAACCAGAGACCATGGAACCTGTGCAGGATACAACTCCACCTCCTTCTCCAACTAATGTTGCATCTCCCTCTTCTCAAGAAAGTTCAAATGAACAGCCGCAAAGAACAAGGAGTATTCAAGAGCTCTATGAGGACACAAAAGAAGTTACTAATTTTGATTTTTTATGTTGTCTCTTTGCTGATAGTGAACCAATGAACTTTGATGAAGCTGTTACAAACAAAAAGTAGAGACAAGCCATGGAGGAGGAGATTGAGTCAATAGAGAAGAACAACACTTAGGAGTCAACAACTCTTCCCAAGGGTCATCGAGCAATTGGAGTGAAATGGGTGTACAAAATAAAGAAGAATGCCGATGGAGGTGTGGAGAAATACAAGGCATGACTTGTGGCTAAAAGCTACAAGCAAAGGCAAGGCATTGACTATGAAGAAGTCTATGCACCTGTTGCCCGCATGGAGACGATTCGTTTGCTGATCTCTTTGCCGGCGCAAATGAAGTGGAGGATCCATCAACTAGATGTCAAGTCAGCCTTCTTGAATGGCTATCTTAAAGAAGAAGTCTATGTTGAAAAACCATTGGGCTTCGTGGTCAAAAACCAAGAAGATAAAGTGTTGCGGTTGAAGAAAACTTTATATGGATTAAAGCAAGCCCCACGAGCATGGAATAGTTGCATCGACAAATATTTTCAAGACAATGGGTTTACTCGTTGTCTCCATGAATATGCTCTTTAACTTAAAGTTCATACTAATTGAGATATCTTACTTGTTTGTCATTATGTTGATGATCTTATTTTCACGGGCAATAACTCAAGTTTATTTGAAGCTTTTAAGAAAGATATGTCCCATGAGTTTGAGATGACAGACGTAGGGCTCATGTCATACTACCTGGGCCTAGAAGTGAGGCAGATGGAGGCTGGAATTTTTATCTCTCAAGAAAGCTATACAAAAGAGATATTGAAGAAGTTCAACATGCTCAATTGCAACCCCGTGAACACACCGATGGAGAGTGGGACAAAATTGCCCATGTTTGATGAAGAAGAAAACGTGGATCCCACATTTTTCAAAAGTCTTGTGGGAAGTTTGAGGTGCTTGACTTGTACCAGGCCAGATATACTCTTTGCAGTTGGAGTAGTAAGCCGCTTCATGGAAGCTCCTACCTCCACTCATTTGAAAGTCACTAGAAGAATTCTTCGCTACCTAAAAGGTACGATTGACTTTGGGCTATTTTATTTTCTTCTAGTGATTTCATTCTTATGGGATTTTGTGATAGTGATTATGCGGGAGATATTGATGATAGAAAAAGTACAATTGGTTTTGTATTTTTTGGGTGTTTCTATTATTTCTTGGAGTTCAAAGAAACAATCCATTGTTACTCTCTCGACTTGTGAAGCCGAATATGTAGCAGCAACATCATGTACCTGTCATGCTATTTGGCTAAGAAGATTATTGAAGGAGCTCAATTTACCACAAATTGAAGCTACAGAGATTTGTATTGACAACAAATCCGCACAAGCACTCGCGAAGAATCCAGTGTATCATGATCGAAGCAAGCATATTGATACAAGGTATCACTTCATCAGAGAATGTATTGCCAAGAAGGAAGTCGAGCTCAAGTATGTGAAATCTCATGATCAAGTTGCAGATACTTTTACCAAGCCTCTCAAGTTTGAAGATTTTCATAGGCTGAGATTAAGACTTGGAATGACGAAGAAAAATCAAAATTAAGGAAGAGATTTATGGGACCCAGCTAATAAAAAGCAAATAAAAGAAGAATAAGAAAATAATGAAGGCAAGTTGCAACGGAAAGGGCGGCTGAAACCAAAAACGGTTTTGGACGGTGGCAACTTGCAAAGCAAATTGCAATTAAATGAACCAATTTGATTGGTTAAAAAGTTGGCAAGTTCTCCTATAAATAGGAGCTTATTTCTCTCATTCAGACACACCAAATCGAGAGAAGCAACAGAGAGTTAGAGAGAGTAATCCACAGATTGTAGTATGTGAGATAAATAGTGAATGAGAGTAATATTGTAGTGAGGTGTTTAAAATAAAGAGTGTTATTTCTTTCGAAGTTGTAGTAGTCTCTTGACACTACTAAGTTGTAATATTATAATGGTAATATTGCTCAGCTGGAGTATTGTATTTTATCCCGTTAAAATATTTAGTGTCGTTGTTACTCTCTTGTATTATTGTTATTTGCCGTGGATATTATTCCTGGGCGGGACTATTATTTTTTCCCCAACAAAAAGAAATATTTCTTTACGTCAATTTATACAAATTAAAGAGAAGGTACCTTGGGACAATCCTGAACATCCCAATCCTTTAATTTGATAAAAAAAGTAAGCTACTTAATTGACTCGCCAGTAGCAGCGACAAGGAGAAGACAGAAAAGAAGGGCAACGAAAGCTGTGTATTTAGCCATATCTAGCTTGTTTTCCTTTTGGATTTTTTGGTGAGGAAACTGAGAACAGCATTGGTGATATTTATTGCATGGTATATGCTCAACAATTAATTTTTTGACTAGTTCAAGCATTTACATCATTATTAAGTACATGCGCCGGTAAAAAGAATAGGTCAAGGTGATTCCTTCAATTCCCTATTATAAATAGATCTAACATTATTTAATCAAATACTGTATATATCCCGTTAATCCGTAAGTACATAAAAAAATTCGAATCCTTTAGAAAATATGATCATGTCCAAAGGACTAATGAGATTAATGTTCATCATCAAATAAAAAATATTTCAGGACAGAAAGTTTCATAAGTATATCTCGATTATTACGTAATCATTTTTGAGTCTCAATTAATAGGGATCATTATATAAATAGCTGACAGAATTCACTATTTTAATATACGGGCAAGGACCATTTAACGTTACTGTTAAGTGGGGTTATTGATCTTTAAACAAACTAAATATGAATTCCACTTCCGAACTTTGTGTATTTTGATGTACAATTGTGGTCTTTCCGACTTAGCGTATGCATTAACACATATTAATATTTTTCAATTAAATTTGTTAGGTGGTTGTCCTGATTTCCGTATCATATTTGGGTTTTCTATCTCTTGAAGGAAATGATAATACATTTACCATAATTGAGTTTTTCTTTTTCAGAAAGAAATTATAGTTCTTCCATATTTGGCTAGTCCCTTTTCTTGTACAAAAATATTTGGACTTCTATAAATTGAGGATCATTCCTTCTCATTCAGTAGATCCACAAAATGTAGCCATATGCGGTTTGAGAGTCTTGTTTAGAGGAGAATTTCGGGACAAGTGTTAGTCTGTTACTTATGTTTGCCTCTTCGTGAGGTTGTTCTCTTAATATTTTGTACTCTTTTTTATATAGTGGATTGCTCATCGCCGCTTGTGGATGTAGGTCAATTGACCGAAGAACCACATTAAATATTTGTGTCTATTTTGGTATATTTCTCTTCTGTTGTCTGATTTATCGTCGTTGAGGATTTTCTTTACTAACTAGCTTCCGCATGACACCTGATTTTTTCGGTCCTAGCAAGATTTAGATTAGAATACATATTATTCATCACGACTACATGATAGGCCGTACTTACAAGAGGCATAAATTGCATTTATCATTGTGGTGTATGCACTAACTGCGAATAAATATTTTTCGTGTTGTTTCTTAGTCTAAATTCCAGTATTCCCGTATACACATTATTTTACCACGTGTGAGACCACAGTAAATAATTATCTGATGTTTTCTTTTATAGCAAGCTACCTTACACGCGTGAACTTAAAATTTTATAGCCAATGATCTGAAACATAGAAATATATTCTATCCGAAACATTGTTATATATATGTTGGTATATGCTTAAATCATAAATGACTAAATTCATGACTAATGTACTTGAGGGAAGATAGTAGTATTGTTTCCTACAATTTGTATTTTACTTTTTTTATTTTCCCATTTCCACTTGTACTTGGTCGCGACACCAATCCTAAAGTTAGAAGAAAGTAATCTTGAGCTTGAACAGTTCAAACTCCTAAATATATTAGGACCATTATATTAATCAAAGATCCTTAAGAATGGTTCTTGATTACGTCTTTATACGTAATAACATACATTTATTCAAAATCATTTTATGTTATTAAACTTCCAATATTGAACAGATAAAAATAATTATATATAACTTATTAAAACATGTTAGTTGCTATCTTTATCAGGTTAATTTAATTAATTGTAATTACCTTATAAATAATTTGATTTGTGTAAACATTTTAGTTTTTATTTTAGGTTTTTGTACACAAATTTTTTAATCTTGAACTCGTCCACCAATCGTCTAGTCACTATCTTGATACTTGATCCATTCAAGTTCCTAAAGTAGCTTTCTCAGTCTGTTTTATTATCATAAATAGCTTGGAGGGCAATTTTTTTTCTTTTGTACTTGCTTATGTACGTGACAATTACTTAATCTTTAATTTGAACAGGTTAATAAAAGAATTTAGTTGACAATATTGAGATTCATATGCTATAAATACGACCATCTCTGTTGCCTGTTTCCTCACCAAGAAATCCAAAAGAAAAAAAAAGCTAGACATGGCAAAATACACAGCCTTCGTTGCCCTCCTCTTATGCCTTCTCCTTGTCGCTGCCACAGGTGAGTCAAAATAAACATGTTTGACTGGACACGAAGTCACGAAGTTTATGGGAAATAAAGATAGACTTTTGAAACTTGTGATTTTAAATACGCTTTGGCATTTGGGTGGCAATAAAATTATGTCATTAAGGAAAAAATAAGAGTCTAAAGTTAAATAATTTTCTAAAAATGAAAAAAAGTGTCATATAAAATAGAACAGGAAAAGAACTAGCTAACCTTGATTTCCAATTTTTCTATTCGTGCAGAAATGCAAATGGCAGAAGGAAAATACTGCTGGAAGAAAAGTCACAAGTGGCATGGACCTTGCCACTATTCTTACAAATGTAGCCAGCATTGCAAACACTGGTTTGGAGCTGAATATGGTATTTGTAAGAAATATCAATGGGGACACAAACATCATCACTGGGCAAAATATGCTTGCTACTGCTACTCCCCTTGCCATTAATCATGAGGAATTTCAGATATATTATAAATAAGAAGCTATCTATTTGTGAAGGCAGAGTACTATAAACTGCATACATCAAGAAGCTCTGTGTGTGTGTGTTCTAACAATGTAATAAGTTATGTAGAGGCTCTAGCATGACTTTTTTGGGTCGAGCTTTGCCTGATCAAATTTGCTGCTTAATTTCGTTTGATTGTATGTTTCTATATTATTGGTGTTAATATGTTATTATTCGAAAAATTATCACTCTATGCATGCCAAATATAGGCTGAAAATTTAAATTTTACAGTTTAAACATGTAAAAGTAGTTAAAATTAAAAGCAATAGAAAGTGAAGGACTCCTCCCAAGTATGTGCAAAAGCTTAGAAAATATTGGTTTTGAGTACCTCATTGATTAGCTTCCCCATAACAACGCGTTCTTGCCTGAACTTATAACATCTGGCATACAATGCATTTGATAAGTGAATTGATTGACACAGTGAAACAAATGTACAAAGTAATATAATATTGTTTGACTCAAAAGATATTAAACTCTTTTTAAGCAAATCAATCAAAGAGATGAAGGGGTAGTCGAAGATAATAAACCCTAGGATCGTTTCAATAACCGGAACAATAATAATGATAAAAGAGAGAGAGAGAATGAAACGGAGATAAAGATCAGAGAGAGAGAATCAGTTTCTGTATTATCAGTTATCTGCCTATTACAAGGCTCGGGTCCCCTTTATATAATAGGGGATCTAAGCTGAGTCATGAGAACGACAAAATTAGTGTACTCTATGGCGGAGCCGATGACTGGTCGAGGTCGTTTCTCCTCTTACCCCTGGGTCGTTCCTTCGTATTGTGTCGTAAACATTTAGTGGTTGGTCATGTTGATGGTAGGTCGTGATTGGTCAAATTCGACCCCATACAGTTAGTCCTCCGCTCGTCGGGGTCGCAACGAGATGCGTCCTCGATGGGCGGAATCAACGTATCCGTCTGGGAGAGTTTGACTTGTTGACTTGATTCGACGTGATTGGTGGGAGACGGCAATCATCCCTGTCAGAGCGTTGAAGTAAAACACTCTGCCTTGGGTGACGTCAGCGTCCGCATATGTCATCATTACGCGTATTCTCGAGACGGAAGATAACTGACGCTTTGGCACTTGGTTTCCCGCGCCGATTTGAAATCTGAAGCCTCGATTCTGGCGCCACCCAACCTTATAAATAGGGGAAGGGTTTAATTTTGTTGAAGAACTTTGGTCATTCCTGAGAACTTCCCCAGCCTTCTTCTATTGATTTTCGCGTTCCTGCATATTTCGTTCTTGTCCAGGGATTTTTCTTCTTCCTCATTTCTTTTCGCGTGATCTTTTTCGAACGAAAATATGCCCAAATCTCACCGTACCAAAGAAAGGGTTCCTGAGGTAGCTCCGTTGAATGTGCCGCCCTCCTCCGATGGTGGGAAGGTAGAAGCGGAAGAGGATGTCAGTCCTCTGACAGTAGAAGCTTTGTTGCCGAGGCACTCTTCGCCTCAGTGCGATTTCAACAAGGATTCTGCAGTTTCGGTTCCGGTGCGTTCTGAGACGGGACAGAACCATTTGGACGACCTCCGCGCAAAATACGGCATTCCAGCTTACGTAGAGATGGTTCCGGTGGGGGAGGATCACGTTGACGTTCACAGGCCGGGCTATTGTGCCTTCTATGAGTACCCCTTCTTGATAGGCTACGGTCTCCCCCGTTTTCCTTTGGCGGAGGAATTCTGCAGATTCTATAACATCTGCCGGCTCAGCTCACGCCGTACACGCTTAAGGTGCTTCTGCTACTGACTAAATATGCAGCGTTGGCCGGATATGACATCTCCGTTCATCATCTCTTGCACTTATTTACAGCCGGTTTCCTTAAAGGGACCATGGTGCACTTAAGGATTCGTGGTACGAAGGGGTTGATGGTTGGAACCGACGACCGGCCGAGCCGTAAATTCTGGCACAAATATTTCTTTGTCAGGACTGAGCATATGGTCTCCAACCCTACCGGATTTCCAGAAAGATGGAACAAAACATGTAAGTGTTGTAGTTCATCAAGTTCTCTGTTGCATATTGTTATCGCAATTCTAACTTTTATATTACAGTTATGGCCTGTCCGCCCCAGCCCATTGTCGGTCTAAGGAGTTGGGTCGTCGGCCTGCTTCCTCATGCGGAGGAAACCCGAACTTGGCCTGCATTCATGCAACGTTACGGCCCTCAAGTTTCTTCAGGTAAACTTCCGATTTTTCTTCGTTGGTTAGACGACCTTGCCTAATCGTGATTTTGTGGTCATAGGTCGAGGTGCTTCTAGGAAGAAGGCGACAATCCCTGCTTCCATGCGTCCTACTACCGCTGCGGACACTCGAGATACTCCATGCAAATCTATTCGGGAGGGTCGTTCTCTTACACCTCATCAGGGAGCTACACCCACGGCTGTGGATATAGGGGAGCCGACTTTGTTGACGTCGGCCCCACAACCCGCCGACAAATCTTCTCATGGTGAGGAGCCGCCGGAAAGAAAAAGGAGAAGACTGGAGATGGGAAAAGGGGTGGCTACTGAAGCCAATGATAGTGGAACATCACGGGCGGCCCCGACGCCCATGTTTATGGCCGATGCTATCCGATCGGGGAGGCCGGTACGTGAGGAAAGAGTCAGCCCTGGGGTTAGTTCGGTGCGCCCCGCTGAGGGGGGTTCGTCGACTAACGTTGGTGTGCCTGACGTGGAAGCTAATGAGTCGGGTTCTGATGTTGCCCCTGAGGACGTAAACAAGTTTTTGGGTTGTCACATCCCTGTGGAGGCGGTGACGGATGGATCTGACCGTCATATAACAATCCCTAGGGATTGCAACTTGCTGCTGAACAGCGAGCAGGTCGCATCGTCGCTTACCCTGCTGTGCGCCGCCCCCGAGAGTGGGATGCTCATGGTGATGAACGATACGGAGCTGTCTCGGAGGGTTACCGGCATGGCTTTACAGGTAATTTCTATCACCTTACTACTTTTTCCTTTGCTTATTGTAGAATGGGTATGGAAATATGCTTGCTCTTGTTATTTTTTAGACCATCATCCTGGAGGTGGAGAGGGACCATCGTGAGCGGAAGAGGACGGACCTCTATAAGAAGATGTTGAGGAAGTATCGAAAATGTCGTGCTAAGCATCAAGTGGCTGATCTCTACCGACAGGACCCCGGGTTCCAAGTGTTCCGCGAGGGGCTTAAGGAGAGAGAGGCCTAATTGGAACGTAAGGGGGCGGAACTAGAGGAGACGGATGGGGAGCTAGTGAGGGCCGTTGCTCGTAATAGTGAGCTGGAGGCTCTCCTCAGGGCGAAGGATGATGAACTCGAATTGAATCAAGGGGTGGCTGCGGAGAATGCCGACTTGCAGCAGGGGGTAGCTAGTCTGACCGCCGAGCTTGGTTTTAGGATGGCGGAAATCGACAGACTTAAGGGCGAGCTGAGTGCTAATGCCGATAAATTGACCGCGCTGCAGAGGCAAGTCGCTCCTCCGAGGTCTGAGGAAGCGGAATACCGTTCTCGGCCCTCCTCATCTCGTCCCCCATCTGGTCGAGGCCCGCATCGTAGCGCCCATGAGATGTGGGTCTATGTAGAGGCACTGCTTGATATATACAGAGCTTTACACACAGAGGGTCGTGCGACGGAGGCGGAGGTTCAGGTGGTGCGAAATGAAGCACGCACAGCTCGTGAATCGTGTGAGTATTACCCCGACTCTCCCGATGAGGAGGATGTCGCTTCCGAGGATGTCGATCGCCTTGACTCAGACTCGTGGTGTGAGGACGCTTATCCCACAGGGGGTGGTGGTTAGTTTAAGCTTGTATATTTTTGCTTCCGCATCTTCTTTTGGCTGTGGGCTGTACCAAAGTCTGTCCATGCGGACAAATGTAAATAAATTTTTGTTGTAACATAAACTTTTGTTTTTTTCGCTTCGTCTGTTTATTGCTTCTCTCTTTTTGTTGTTTGTTTTACACTTATTCTTCAATGATATTGCCTTTCGGAAGATGTCGTTGTTCGAACGAGATCGAACTGATATCGATGGCCTTTAGCCGTTAGGATGTTGCTTCGACTATCGTCGAAATAGTATCCGTCGTGGTTCGAACGAGGTTGAACCAATGTCGATGGCCTTGGCCGTTAGGAGGTTTCTTCGACTATCGTCGAAGGAGCACCCGTCGTGATTCGAACGAGGGCAAACCAATGTCGATGGCCTTGGCCGTTAGGAGGTTGCTTCGACTGTCCTCGAAGTAGCACCCGTCGTGGTTCGAACGAGGGCGAACCAATGTCAATGGCCTTGGCCGTTAGGAGGTTGCTTCGACTGTCGTCGAAGTAGCACCCGTCGTGGTTCGAACGAGGGAGAACCAATGTCGATGCCCTTAGCCGTTAGGACGTTAATTTAACCGTCGTCGAAGTAGTATCCGTCGAGGTCGAACCATTGTCGATGGCCTTAGCCATTAGGACGTTACTTCGACTGTCGTCGAAGTAGTATCCGTCGAGGTTCGAACGAGGTCGAAGTAATGTCGATGGCCTTAGCCGTTAGGACGTTACTTTAACCGTCGTTGAAGTAGTATCCATCGAGGTCAAACCATTATCGATGGCCTTAGCCGTTAGGACGTTACTTCGACTGTTGTCGAAGTAGTATCCGTCGAGGTCGAACCATTATCAATGGCCTTAGCCGTTAGGACGTTACTTCGACTATCATCGAAGTAGTATCCGTCGAGGTTCGAACGAGGTAGAACTAATGTCGATGGCCTTAGCGTTAGGACATTACTTTGACTGTCGTCAAAGTAGTATCCGTCGAGGTCGAACCATTGTCGATGGCCTTAGCTGTCAGGATGTTACTTCGATGGAGATTCAACTTCTGTTTATACAATGGAGATCGACACTTTTGTTCATATAACGGAGATATCTACTTATACAATGGAGATCGACTTCTACGTATACAATGGAGATTGACTTCTATTCATATAATAGAGATTTCTGTTTATACAATGGAGATCGACTTCTATGTATACAATGGAGATTGACTTCTATTCATATAATGGAGATTTCTTTTTATACAATGGAGACTGACTAGGGTAGTCCCTTCATTACTTCGGTTTAGAGACCGTGTTGATGGACCGAGGTGATGAATTGCGCTTTTGATTCACGGGGTATCCCCTTTGCTGCCTCGTTAAAAACCTCCCCGAGAAAACCCAATTGGGACAAAACTCGGGTGAGGGAAAAAGAGTACGACTTAG